TCTGCATGTATCTATCTAGTTTTCCCAGCACCATTTATTGAAGAGAGATTATTTTCTCCAATGTATATTTTTGTCTGCTTTATCAAAGAATAGGTTACCATATGCAGATGGTTTCATCTCTAGAATCTCAGTCTAATTTCAAATATTGATGCTTCTGTTCTTGTGCCAGTCCCAGGATGATTATTATTGCTTTATAGTACAGCTTGAAGTCAGGAAGACTGATGCCTCCAAGTTTGTTCTTTTTACTTAAGATTGCTTTGGATATATGAGGTTTTTTCTGGTTCCATACAAAGTGAAGAATTATTTTTTCTAGATCTGTAACCAATGATGGTGGTACTTTGATGGGGATTGCATTAATTCTGTAGATCACTTTAGGTAATATTGACATTTTAACAATATTGATTCTACCAATCCATAAACAAGGTAGATTTTCCCATCTGTTTACATCTTCTACAATTTAATTTTTTTAGCATTTTGTAGTTCTCCTTGTATAAGTCTTTCGTATCTTTCATTAAATATACTCCTAGATATTTAATTTTCTTTGGGGCTATAGTAAAAGGTATTGCGTTTTATTTGTTTGTTTGTTTTGTGTTTTTGAGACAGAGTCTCACTTTGTTGTTCAGGCTAGAGTGAGTGCCGAGGCGTCAGCCTAGCTCACAGCAAGGTGCCAGAGTCACAATTCCGCCAGACAGGGCAGGAAGACTTAGCCGAGCCAGAGGCGACCTCCGACTCGCGCCCAGGGCGTCTTTGTCGCGCTCCTCCCTGCAGCTGGCCGCACCTGCAAATCCCGTGCACTCGGGGCCGCGGCACCGAAGCTTCTCTCTGCTCGCCAGCTCGGCGCCGCGCCCTCGCCATCTTCCGCCCGCTACGCCTGCCGGGACTCGCTTCCTGCCATTCGGGTCGGTTCCGGCACGTGGAAGGCGGAGCTGCGCGAGGTGCATTGCGCGTTTCTCGCTCCCCAGCCCCGAGTCTCCGCCCCAGGTTCTGTCGAAACTCGTCGCAGTTCTCTTTTCTGTTAAGGAAGTTGACCAGGAATTTCTCTGCAGAGGAATCTATTTCCTGCTTGTTTGACGCGCTTGTAGGCGGCTCAGAGCAATGTGATTGCAGGTTCATTTAACCAACATGAAACGTCTCGAATGTTTAAATGAATGATCTGTAACCTCCCTCTACCTTGTCAGATCTCTCAGTGTCTTCTATTCCAGACTGCTGTACAGCGCCCCCACAGCACGAATTGTATTGAGGTCAATGCAAGCAGGCTGGAAGACAGTTGAACCTCTTGAATTCAACTGTGATGATTGAATTCTGTTCTTATCCCAGCATTTTAGCCCCAAGGAAATACAAAGCAAAAACAATATCTCTGGTCAGTATGAAAACTCACAATTAGGGAGAAGAGATTAAATGGAATTGATAAAATGCATTTGCAGTAGGAGGGGTTCACAGAAGTGGTGTAAATGCACTTTGAAAACACAGGTGAAGAAGAGCACTTCGGACTATTATTTCTTCCTGTAACGGGAAGAAACTCCAAACTCTGGTAAATAATTTGGAGAAGATTATTCTGAGTAGATATGTGACCTGCTGGGGAACATGTTCTGAGAGGTTGTGAGAAAATGCAACCTAAGCGGCCAGGATTACAATTTGTTTTATATGTGCATGAGACAGGATTACAGGTAAATCATAAATTAATGCATGAAAGGTGAAATGTAGTTCATGCTGAACAACAATGCTTTGAAGCAGGGAGTTAAAGGGTCGGTAGGTGGGTTTAAGGAAGTTTTGTGTCATTGTTGAAAACGATTAAGCTTTGTTTAAAGACCTGGTAAATAGCAGGATGCTTGATAGATTGAGGAGTTGGCTAGGAAAGCGTAAGTAAAATGTGGTCTGTCTATCTGTTGTATTACCGAAAGAAGCCAAACTGTAAATTAATTTTAAAGAGATTTTTCTGGAGCAATTTGAGGACCATAACCTGGAGCGGCGCCCAAGAAGCCTTAGCAGATGACTCGCGCCATGGTTGGGTTGGATGGGTTTTTTCGGGTTTTTTTTCTATCAAGTCCAATCCTAACCTCTAATAAGTATTGAAGTTATCCCCTCCCCATTCCAACCTATATGGAAACAGAATTAAGAACAGAAATCTTTTTTTTTTTTTTTTTGACATTCTGGAAGAAAACTGGGGCACAGTATACGTTACTTAACCAACTGTTAAAACCCATGTATGTGGGTGGACTGAAGGACACTAGAAGAGACAAAAGTCTTTGACAATGCAGAAATGCTATTGAACACTGAGGTGGTTTTTAGGCTTTGTCTTGTCACTAAAAATCCTACTCTTAACTTTCCCACTGGCCATTTCCCAATTTGGGGAGATGAAGGGAACCAAGAACAGTTCTTGATTTGATATTCAGATGAGATTCCCAAGTTTGCAGTTTGCAAATTGGAGGCTCCCAGTGCTGAGGGGCCTTTTGGAAAACAACTATGTAGCTTTCCTGTGTTGGACTTGGAACACTCCCTCTTGATTCAGATGCCAACAAACTCCACACCGCATGTAGCTAAGATATATTTATTTAGGGGTACTTTTCTTTGTTCCAATTAGTACATCGCCCTTTTCCTCACCATGAAAGACTCCTAGAGCAAGCTCTTGGGGAAGAAGTATCTACTGAAAACTGCACTGAGTAACTCGTAAGCATGTCTAGATTAAACAATAACAAGATAATCTATAAACAATATCCAAGAAACCATTTGGGGAGAACATCATTATCAATTCTTTAAACCTTTGATACATACTTTATTTCTTGATACGTCATCATTTTGGTTGTTTTCAAGTTTCTTTGCAAGTTCTTCACATTCATATTAAATTCTAAAGGAAAGATTACCAATACTTACACACTGTATTTGATATACCAAATTATACTCATAAAGAAATCAGTTATCTTCCTACTGACCTACCTATAAGTACATAGATTAAAAAGAAATCCCTATCTTCTACTTAATAATGGAAACTAAGGCATTCTCAATTAGCAACACCTACCAGCATATCTCCAACCATTAATCATACATAGATCCACTGGATTGTCTATAAACAATTTTCCAGTATCAGGTGATCATTAACCAAACTATTCTCACTTTCCACATAAAAAGAAGAAACGGATTTAAATTAGGGAAAGGATATTAAGTTACACAGTCTGTATTAACTTTAATGGTATTAGAATGGACTAAAACCAGTGAAAGTTACAGCATGTCTTTCCTTTGAGGGAAAAGAAACCAAATACTTGCCAAGGGAATACTGAGCCAGGATAATATGCAAATTGGGCATAGGGCCTTTACAGACATTATTTAATCCTTACACCCCTACCACTATCTATCACCCTCAGTTTACAAATGAAGATGCTGAGGTTCAAAAAGGTTAAAATATTTCTAAGTTCACACAACTACTAATGGCAGGACAAAGAAGCAAACCAAAGTTGTTCTGACCACTAAATTCATTTTTCCCCAACACCCCTCACTGCCTCTTAGTAATGTTGGTCTACAGTAGAAAAGATGAGGTGATAATAGGTTCCTATTTCTTGATTCTGTTTACTACTACTGGATTGACTATGGGCACTGGAACTATTCTATATTGATCTCACTGCCTAATCTTACACTGATCTCTCCATTCTCCAAATTCTGTATTTTATGTATTGCCTTATTTTGGCACCCAATTATGCCCCATCTTAAAAAGTTATGCTAAATGATTCATATCTATATCTCAAAACCAAAATAAACAAAAAACTCTGTAGGTTTCCAAAAGGTAGAAAGGCCTTTTACACTTCCATAGCCTTGATCAGTGTCCAGCACCAACTGTGTATTTGATGTGCTATTTATCTCTGCGTTCCCCAGAGCTGAAAGTTATGTTATACAGCAGGTGGTCAATTTATGTTTGCTCACGTAAACGAATGAAAGTGTGGCCATAAAGTAATACACAACTGTTCTACCAAGGTTTAAGGATTCAAGCTCATTCATTTTTAACTGTAGCTTCTTACAGATGTTTATGTGTTGAATTTTATCAATGATCTTACAAGGTGACAGAAAAAGTCTAAAATGAGCAAAGTGGTGTTAGCATCTAATAAAAGAGGATTTGGTGCACTCGTATTTAACAAAGTAAGTGTCCTATAACGTTACAAAGTCTTATTTACCCGTTTCTTACGTGCAATGTTGTATCGCTTTAGCTCACCTCTTTAAAAGAGAAAAGCTACTTAATAAAAAGTATCTTTTTGTATCTAAGTAACCAAGTCAGCATTCAAGACAAAAGAACTAGCACACGTGACACTACTTTTTAAGAGATTGCCTACTTTACTATGGCCACAGTGAAGCTTCCTTCTGTAGTCTCGTGAAGGAAGCATTAACCAGTGAACAACCCAACTGACCCCGCAAAATGCCATGCTAAATGAACAGTTGCTTTTTGCAGCCCACAGAGGGTGAAGTACAAACGAGGCACCGACTGTAGAGACTCAGGCACTAGTTTCCACGACCACCACCGCGCGATGCGCCCACTGGAGAGCCGCAGAGCCAGAGTCACAATTCCGCCCCCAGACAGGGGCCAGGAAGGACTTAGCCGAGGCCAGAGGCGACCTCCGACTCGCGCCCCAGGGCGCTCTTTGTCGCGCTCCTCCCTTGGCAGCTGGCCGCACCTGCAAATCCCGTGCACTCGGGGGCCGCGGCACCGAAGACCTTCTCTCCTGCTCGCCAGGCTCGGCGCCGCCGCCCTCCGCCATCTTCCGCCCGCTAGCGGCGCCTGCCGGGGACTCGCTTCCTGCCACTTCCGGGTCGGTTGCCCGGCAACCGTGGGAAGGGCGGAGCTGCGCGAGGTGCATGCGCGTTCTCGCTCCCCCAGCCCGCGACGTCTCCCCGCCCCAGGTTCCGGCTCGAACTCGTCGCCAGTTTCCTTTTTCTGTTTAAAGGAAGTTGGCCCAGAGAATTTCTCTGCAGGGAAATCTACTACTTCTGCTTGTTTGACGGCGCTGTAGGCGGCTCTAGAGGGCAACATTGACTTGCAGGTTCATTTAACCAACAATGAAAACGTCCTCGGAATGTTTTAAATGATGAAAATTGTAACCTCCCTTTCTAGCCTTGGTCAGATTCTCTCATGTTTCCTATCAAGGACTGGCTGGTACAGCGCCCCCACAGCACGAATTGGTATTGAGGGCTCAATGCAGGCAGAGCTGGAGACAGTTAAGCCCTCTTCCATTCAACTGTGATTGATTGAAATTCTGTCTTATCCCAGGCACTTTTATGCCCCAGAAATACAAAGGCAAAAAGAAATAGTCCTGGTCATTATGAAACTCACAATCTAGTGGAGGAAAAGAGATGTAAATGGATGATAAAATGCAATTTGCAGTAGAGGGTTCACAGAAGTGTTGTAAATGCACTTGAAAAACAGGTGCAAGAAGAGCACTCTGACCTATTATTTTCTTCCTGTTAACGGAAAAACTCCAAACTCTGTAAAATAATTTGAAGAGATTTATTCTGAGCTGAGTATATGTGACGCTGGCCTGGGGAACATGGTCTGAAGAGGTCTTGAGAAAATGCAACCTAAGCGGCCAGATTACAATTTGGTTTTATATGTTCATGGAGACATGATTACAGGTAAAATCATAAATTAATGCATGAAAGGTATACATGAATTCATGCTGAAAAGGCAACACATCTTGAAGCAGGAGCTTACAAGTCATAAGTGGGTTTTAAGGAATTTTTAGTTGGCAATTGGTTGAAACGATTAAGCTTTGTTTAAAGACCTGGAGTAAATAGCAGGGAATGCTTGAGTTAAGATTGGAGGAGTTTGCTAGAAAGCGTAAGTAAAGATGTGGGGGTCTTCTATCTGTTGTTAACGGAAAAGAAGCCAAACTGTAAAATAATTTTAAAGAGATTTTTTTCTGAGCCAAATTTGAGGACCATAACCTGGAGCCACGCCCAAGAAGCCTTGAGCAGATGGACTCCCCATGGTTGGGTTATGGTTTGGTTTTTTTGTTTTGTTTTTTTGAGACAGAGTCTTACTCTGTTGCCTGGGCTAGAGTGCCATGGCATCAGCCTAGCTCACAGCAACCTTAGGCCTGTTAATGTGTTACAAAGGATGACTCCAAGAAGGGAGGGGGGCATGATGAGGCATGTCTGACCTCACTCCCCATGGCAGGCAATTTAATTTAAGGACATCCTCTTGTCCCATAGGGTGTCCATTCAGTCAGCTGGTAGGGGGGAAGCCTTAAGATTTTATTTTAGTTCACACTGTCATGTGATGTTATACAAGACTCAGGTTGGAAAGTAAACCACATTATACCAGGTTAATAAAAACCTGTTTAATGATATTTTATCATTTGTAAGTATGACTCACCAGGCAAATTCTCAGGAATTTGGGCAAGAGAAAAAAAAAGGTCAGAGTTGAGTCTTATTCCTGAAAGCAGGAAACCAAACTTCCATGTGAAAGATACTCTCCCTGTCCTAGGAGGAAAGATACTCTTATCACAAGAAATGGAGATAAATCTGTACAAACAGTCCTTATTAAATTAATCCATATTTTCCTAGTTACTTTTCCATGAATGCCTGTTTGTTCAACTACTATATAAGCATTTAGGCCTAGCCACTTCTTTGGATTTTCATTTTCCTGTGAGGATGCCCATGTACATGTAAAATTTTATTAAATAAAATTTGTATGTTTTTCTCCTGTCCATCTGTTTTATGTCACTTTAATTCTTAGGCCCAGTTGGAGACAGAGAGAGTAGAGGAGACAGTTTTCCTCCTTTAAAGTGCGTTCCATGTGCGTTCATTTATCTCTCTGTCAGGTAAGTATTGGTTATTACCATGCTATACCCAAGGAAACCAGATGATAAAGACTAAATTCACTCTGTAGTAAATGGCAGTACCAGATATTAAACCTTGCATTTCTTGTCCTGTTACTCTTTTAATACAACATTCTACCCTCAAAAATTCCTGGCTCTTCATTAACAAGAGATACCCCCAGAGTCAATGACATTTTAGCTGAGTCTTGAAGGAGAAGTACTTCTTATAGAAGTAGTAGACCAGAAAGAACCATGGGTAAGAGCAAACATATGTACCAAAAGCACAGAGATACGAAATACCATGTTCTTGTCAGCAAAGTGCTACTTGGTTGCAGCTTAGGAAAGTGACAAAAGATAGTTGTGGGGTGGTGGGGAGGAGACAGATCTAAATTGGAGATACAGGCTTGAGACACATTCTGAAGGATCTTACTTTAGATTAGAGGTGGAGCGTTACCATCTGGGCCAGTGATTCTCAAACATTGCTGCACCTTAGAATCACTTCTTCCCTCTCCTCTCCAATAACTCAGATTTAATTGGTATGGGGTAGAACTCAAGCATCATATTTTTTAAGATGCTCCCCAAGTGGACATTGCTACTGATAGAGACAGTGTACCTGGTACTGGGCTTCCCCTCCTACCCTTAACAACCCCCAAATCAATCAACAAAATATGTAAAACAACTGTTTGTAGTCATTGCGCAACAGACAGTACTGGTCTATGATATCTGAAAGAAGGAAAATGAACAAGGTGAGCTCCGTTTGTCCTGTCTTTCTGCATGGAACTCTCATGCATTGCTGGTGGGGTATAGAATGGCACAGTCACTTTGAAAAATAGTTTGTCAGTTTCTTCTAACATTAGATATTCCACTGTAAGACCCAGAAATTCTACTCCTAAGTATTGGTTCAAGAGGAATGAAAATATATGTTTCCAAAATATTTATACCCATATATTCATAGAAATTTTAGCTGTAATAGCCTCCAAACTGAAAAATCTAAATATCCATCAACAAATTAATGGATAAAATTTTGATAAATTCATAGAAGGGAATACTGCTCAATTACCTATTCATACACCATGGATGGATCTCAGAGATACTATCTTGAGTAAAAGAAGCCAGATGCAAAAGATTAAATATCATCTGATTCAATTTATATATGAAGTTTTAGAACAGGCAAAATGAATAATGACAGAAAGTTGGTGATTTCCTGGGGGCTGTTTCTATAGGGAAGGATAAACTTGGGGAATTTGACTGAAATAGGACATATGAAAACTTCTTGAGGTGACAGAAATGTTTTATAGCTTGATTGTCCTGATAGTCATACAGGTATATACATCTGTTAAAAAACACACTTAGCTATACACTTAACATGCATGCATTTTATTGTATGTAAATTATACATTTATGAACTTGATTGAACAAAAACCCTGCTGAGTTGATTCTGTTGTGCAACTATGGCTGAAAACCATTGCTCTGAGGCAATTGGAAGCCAGCAAAAGGTTTTTGATTTAGGAAGATCACAGAGGCAACAGTGTGTAGGATGAATTAAAGTTAGGAAACTAGGTTATTACAACAATGAGAGGTAATTAGGACTCAAGTTTTATCAGTGGCACCATGTATACAGAGAAGCAATAGTTGGTAAGAATATTAGGGTCAAAGCCAGCAGGTGCTGAAGTCTTCAAAGTGGAATATATGAAAGAAGGAGGAATAAAGAATGACATCTGGGGATGTGGCTAGGTGATTTGATAAATGGTGCTGCCTGTAAATTATGTAGTTGAAAGGGAAAAGCAAATGTCAAAGGAAAGAAGCAAGTTTGTTAGAGACACTTTGAAGTCAAAATTTATGTGGGACACTCAGATGAAAATGTGTCATGAAACAGCTGCAAATATGGGTTTAAATATTAGGATATTAGGTGAGAATTTTGGTTTGGGCATACAGATTTGGGTGTTGGCTGTAAGTGATAACGTGTGAAATGGGAGACACACAAAAACCAAGAACACTCAGAAACACCAACATCGAAGAACTCAGTGGAAAAAGAAGAGCATTCAAAGTAGACCCGAGGTACAGTTAGAGAGGTGGGATGAAAGCAAGAGAATAGAAAAAACTAGTGATGAGGCAGTTTCAAGGGGAAGATCAGCAATGACATTTATTACCATAATCAAGTAAGATTAGGACTAGAAGGTATCTACTGGATAAGGGAAAAGGAGATTGCCATCCCTAAAGTTATTACTAATTTCAAAGTTAGAGAAGAAAATTCATATTATAGTAATTTCAGAGGGCCATCTAGAACAGTGAGGCTACATTTCAATGTACTTAATATCAGTGGTGTGCAGGAGATGCCATATATTTAATATTTGCTCATGAGAGCATATTGTTAAATTTTCAGGAATTTTGCAAGGCAATTGTTAAGTACAGTGATTTTTACAGATTAAATTTTACTAAAACTAATGTAATAAATATTCAAAACTCATCATTTCCTGGTTATTGTAATGTATTTTACTATAATGTATGCTCTTGAGGTGATTTCCATGTATTGTAACTGTGTGGTGGAGATTCTGTGATGGTGGTTATTGCACACCTCTTCCCAACTCTGCATTCAGTGACATGTTGATGGCTTGAAACCTACCATGGTGTTAGGTAGGGATAAGAAGTAGGGGAAACAGATGCCTTGTCTAGGGGTTTTCGTTGAATAACAGATGGTACTAGGAGATGCTTTCTCTACAATAGGAGGAACAAATTGACCAGAGTGGGCTTAAGGAACAGATGACATGTCAAGGAGGCCTCCAAGGACTGAACAGATGTTTGGTCTATGATAGGGAGTCTCCAAGGACTGACCAACCAGAAAGGGGTAGAGAGGCCACAAAGTAGAGATATGATCAAGGCTACAAAAGGGAGTCTTTGGAACATGTGTACAGGTAAGGTGACAGTATCCTCAAGTGACATACCCTCATTAACATAGTAAAACTCACACCCACCAGCACCATGACAGTTTCCAAATACCATGGCAAAACCCAGAAATTGCCTTACAAGCTTAAAAATGGGAAGGATTCCCAGCTCTGG